ACCATACCGAATGAGATCGCATCATGCATGTCCAGTTAGGGGTGGCCACAAGACGAGCTGTCCGTTAAGGGACCACACGCCATATCAAATTAGCAATTTATCTTTTCCGAAAATTCATCCTGTTTTCCGGTTTGTCGAAAAGTGTCTTGGATCATTGTCTCGCGTTATGGAAGTCATGTCACCAGAAAATAATGTGAGTAGTTTGTGGCAAGGAAGCGGGGTGGTGGACTGCTGTACGTATTTCAAAATCTCCAGCTGTTCAAAAATACGTGTATCCGCGCTCAAGTCAGCTGAAATGCAGCTTTCTCTGCTGCGTGTATCAGTTGGATAAACAGAAATTTCTCAACGCGCAATATCCACATAACATCATCGTTCATTTTCATCACCACGAGGAACTGCTAGTAGTTCTACCCACTGGACCAATGTTCATTACTCCCATGCAAATAAATTCAAGCAGTTCAACTACATACATGGGTATACTAATGAAATGAAGCCTAGGAAGCTCCTTATCGCCTGAAGCAGTTTTTCTAACCAACGTATTCATACAATTTTACAAAATCTGCATTGTCCACGGGTGCAGCACCGGTATTCTAACTTCACTGAGGTTTGCACTGTTTTTTTGTTCGTCTTGGCTTGTTAGGTCACTGGAATTCATGAGTGTCTGCGATAGTGCTATTCGCATGCTATACGCTGTATCCCATCCTATCGGATACCACCTAGCGCTATATGGTCACAGTTTCTGGTAATTATTCTGCAGTGGTAACCGAAAGGATCAGGAAAACGTTGATGTATGTTTCATGCTATGAATCGGAATTTCTCCCACTTTTATCCAACTGACCAATAAACGAACAAAAACTACCTAGGCGAGATACACTGAGCCACGTTCTTTGGCCATGTGACGTGCTGTCCAGCGTGTTCCAGAACCCAGAGTATTATTGTGTGAGCGCCACTCATACCAAAAATTAATAAACCAGGTTCAAGAAGTTCTGTTATATATATATAATGTATATACGGTGAACCGTATCGATTTGATTTACAGTCTTCATGCAGTACATGAGGGGAATATGTCAACCAATTGTTTGAATGGATTGTCAAGGAAACGTCCACTCGAACCAGGATCGCTAATGCTATGTCATGATTTGTTCTTGTCCGGCGATTTATTGTTGCGTTGACAAATTGATGATGCCACTCTTGATAATGATTGTACGTCATCAATACTTGTTCTCTGGAAGTATTCATTTAATCCACGTTGTCAGAAAACCTCCTGCTAGTTTGTGAGCTCTTTTACGGATATGCTAATAAGATGTCAAGAACGGTGTACTTACCAAATCTCACCAAAATTCACACTACGCGGCTTGAAATACATCCAGCATTCAGCCCAAACAGTCCAACTTTTCGCGCGTTTACGTCTGATTTTCGGGATCACGCTCAGGATGTGAAATCACGCCCCTCAATTGTAAAAAGAAAAATTGCGTAGACCGGGCTTTGGTGCACCTGGGAAATTGCATTGTGCTGTTGCTACGGTGTCATTGATCTTGCTACCAACTAGTACATTACGGTTTGTATGCAAGCATGCTGTAATATGAAATTCTTTAAGGGTACCAGGAATCTCAACGCTGAATATGTCAAAACGGCCAGTCCATTTTCAGAAATACAGCTGAGTGAGGATTGGGTCATCGCTAGGTCACCGCCCCCATAATGCTATTTTGAATATAGAGGATTGAGTAAACCTTTTGTGATTGCCCGAAGTTCAGATAACAGCAGAATGTTCATGTATCGCAGTCATTTTGTGGGCATCCGTTGAATCCTGCGAGAGGGTGAATCTTTATCTGTAACGTAAATTGCTCGTTTTGAAGGAACTGGTATCGATAAGATTAGCTTGGGTTTTTTAATGAGTATGGGTTAGTTTCAATTTTCTCTCAAACGAGCGCCTCCTTGTAAGACCAACATACGACACTCAGCACGAACGAACATGCGAACTGGTTGGTGGTGGCAGACTGCAGCTTATTTTTCAGAAGTGAAGTAATCAAACACATAGGAATAGATGATACACAATTCCATAGTCATCGAGGATTCTGTTCGGTGATTGTTCTGCCCTTTTATAGATGAGTAAGATACAAATGCTTCTGGCAAACTGACCAAGCCGTCAGCACTTGTTTCCTAAATCGAATGCATTCAATCTTCAAGCACATACAGTAGCAATTTTATATGAACACTTCCTTAAAAAATCACTTGATCTCCAGAAAAGGCCACCGCTCCATGCTTCTGTCGGCGAATTTCGTTGCTGGTCTGAATTCAACGTTTTATGTGCATAGTGACCATAATTGTTCAGGTTCTGAAGTGAGGATAACAAACTCTTCACTATAACGCCCAGTGAAGTCACAAATGTAGTCAAATGTTCCCTCTGATGTAACATTAATTAAAAATGAGAGATAACGTGGAGTGTGAATATATTTTAATTGCACAGACAAAAGCACAAACAAAAGATGTAAAATATCTTCAAAACTGGGGCCGGTTAATCTTCGCCCGATGGTCGCAAGTATAACAATAGACCATAGGCACAACGCATGATAACGTAAATAAAACTCGTCTGGGATAGATCTCGGCAAACCTGGTCTGTGCACCTTGAGAATCCCACATAATCAAAGAATCAAAATACATTTTTTTTCGGCAAACGCACAGAAAATACTGATATCAACTTGTCCAGTCTATTCTATATCACAGTGACCCAAAGCGTGACTTTCATTGAATTAAGCCTTTGTCACTTGATTTCATTATATTTTGAATACTGCATCAATTACAAAGAATTCTGGTCGTTTGTGGATGGGGTTGGATTTTCCCAAAACAATGATCCATAGTGACCAGTCAAAACAACACTAATTAGTGGGTTTTTTTACAAGGATCTAGGATCATGAAATGACTGGCATCTGCTATTAATCTTAGTACAAAATTTACTCGGATGAATGATCATACCGGCTCCTGGTTTGGAAGGCCAGTTCACCGGTCTGATACGCAGCCTAGATTTGACATCGCTGGGAATGTTTCGCCCAAATTGTGCAAACGAATATCGGAATTGGTTGCATGTAGTTATCTGGTTGAATTCGCTGGTCTTTATCTTGTGCATATATTCTGCCGATCTTAAGCTTTGAATATAAAACAGTTCATTCGTGCTTCTGATCTCTTAAAACAAAAAGCCGTTCAAAAAAGAGAAGTTTGTAAACAGCAACACTCTAAATCGAATGCACCAGACTGCGGCAAAGCAGCAAAACATGCACTCACATATTTGGCCTTAGTTGCACTAAACTCCGCAGTCGATCAATAATTGCAGGTTTAAGATGCATACCGGCATGCGTCAAAAACACGATCGGCCGAGTTCATCTGAACCAGGGAAACAGCATTGATATCAGTGCACTCTGTGTGTGAAGCGGGTGCCAAGACATCAGTAGGGATAAGTGATAGTGGCAGGTGAGAGACAGCGGTGCTTCGTGTGCTTCTCCAGGTGCGATATTTTTCGACGCGCTTAAATTTCACCCCTCAGGGTTGTGTTGTTGTTTTACACTTTACGAATAATACCGGAGTTTTCTTTCTGAAGGTTAACCCATTGCCAAGTCGTCAGAAAACCCTTGGTGGCCGCCGAAGATTTGATGTTTTCTGGTGAATATTCAAAAATAAGCCACTGACATTGTGGTAAAACTTCTCGGCGGAACACGTAAACGGAAACTGCTGGCGTTCCTCCCCACAGGAATTCCCTTCCAAGTGGTTCGCGGATACAACTCCAGTCGTTTATTGCGTGTATCTCGGATCGACCCCATTTAATAGATAACAGAGGCCCAATAGGTTAACCTCACTCTATAAAGCACACAAGAAACATTATACTTGTGAACTTGCAATAAACTCTATGGCTTCATTTTGTTTCATGGTATGTGTGAGCAAACAAGCATAGTAGACTCAACGCAAATTGAGTAACCACGTTTTATAAATTGAAAAAGCTCTGCCTAACTTAGCACAGTAATTTCATTTAAACATTATGAAGTCTATATTAGTAGTGGGATGTTCATAACTTCGAACGGTGGAACTGGCATGATCTCTCGGGATAGCTGAACGAGGAATGTGACCTTTTTTTGAAGAGATCATGCCAAGTGTGGTACCTAGATAATACGTGATTTTTTGAGAGCTTTCTCTACGAAAACTGAACTACCTCACGAATTCCCACAGATATCAGTTAATAATCACCCATCCAGTTACTAGGATCGTCAGCATTAATAAAAATATCCAGTCTGTTCTTTCAAACAATTAGTCGTATTAGTTGAAAGTAACAGCGCTTTTGGGGACCCACACCAATTTTGTACTCAGGAGTTTGCCCCTCACACAACGAGCGCTCTTTTAGTATTAAAGTAGCCAACATGTAAAGGCAATCATCAGAAATCACAGGACATAAATATTCTCCTCCCCATTTTTACTCGATCCGGTTTATTTACCTTCTGTATTTAAAAGAGTAGAAAAAATTAGCGCTCCGGGGACATTTTCTTAAAGCGAATCTAATAAAAGACAAAAACAAATTGAGTTATCCCAAATGCCTATTTAATCCTGGCAACACACAGCCTTTAGTCGCAGCATCAAGCTGATCCATCCAGTAACACAATTGTGAGATAAATTGGATTACGTTGAAGAGTATTCAGAATCAGAATGTTACATCGCACCAACTCGTTGGCAGTCTGAACCCATCAACCAACGAGTTCATTCGATAAAGCGAACTGGGTGAAATTGATTGGAGGCATGTCACTCACTCAAAAAACTCAGTCAAAAACCTCCTTTGCGGTCACTACAGTGTGGAAAATACGAAGCTATAATGTGCTCAACCGTTTGGTAAAATGACCTAGTTCTTGCTATATCAGAATTGTGGAGTATTGACCTTTGAAAACTTTAGATGGAAGTCTATTCTTATCGATTATTCAACATAAGTCTAGTACTTTTCACCGCTGTCTGCTTCTGCTCCTTAGGTACCTTCAGTCAGTACCGATGATTGTATTCTTGAATAAAATCGATGTACTGGACGAAAAGATTCATGCAGGACAACGAATCACCCGGTTGTACTCCTTCGCGGCAAACTGGATTGACATGTACGAAATGCGAAGCAGCGTTTTTTCACCCGCATCCTTGGCAGATTCAAGAGATCAATTTTTGAACCTACACGATTCTTTGCTCAGTTGTTACTCGCAAACCAACGATTTTAACGATGGGACAGCTGTTCAGACGCCCGTATCGCGATTTCCAAACACAAGTGTCCTGCGAAAGATTGACGAAAATGCTTCTCAGGATTGTGACGGATCGCCTCTAGGTTCCTCACTGACTTCACCCACCAAACACTCCACACCAAACGATCGGGCAAAAATGACTCGACGTCCCTCCCAAACCTCATTCCGGTGGCGGCAGAGCTCATTCAGTAGAACACTCAATACTCTGACGCCTAAAAATTCAATACGTCGATTTCGTCGAAGTTTCCGGCAGGCCACATTCATCCCCATTAACCCCATGCCTTCTTCGTGTGGGCAAAAGAGTCGACTGTCTTGCACAGTTGCTGTGACCCAGGTGATAGTCCAGTCGCCTTATCACAAGTTCGAACCGTCAGGTAAGCGTCTGAAATTCTACTGAAATTCTGTGCCTGAATGCGGCTGTATTGGAAGGAAAGACGTACACACTTTCATGTTCTGGGAGCTATTCACTTCCAGACACACCTTCCTTCGGGATTTATTGCTTCTTCTAAAGCCTGCTAATAGTTTGTGTGCTTTAAATCAAGTTTGCGATATCGTCTGTGGCTCATTCCATAAATTTATCCCATAGCTAGTTTGCCTACATAAAATTTGACACATGATATCCCGAAACGACTAAAATGCTGTCATGCGTCAAAAGTCATGCCGATGGGCGAACTGGACGCATTGTCTCGACGGCTAATTGCGTGCCTCCCAGTCCCTGCTAGCATATGATAACAGTGAGAGAAAACTTTTACGGGGATGAATGGTATTCAATCACAAGAAATTATGAGGGTTCACAAGTTGATAATGCTTTACTAGGCTGCTTAATATCAAACTCAAAGTGCGAAAGAATTAATCCCTCATTGCTGTGCAAAACCTGTTGCCTTTGGTGCTATCCGAGGATTTTTTCACCTAAGGCATCCCTATTTCAAGTTGTTTACCATTCTTACTAAAAGGCGGTCGTTCAGCACAAAGATCTTTTTGTTTTTCGCTACATTGTGCACTGCAAGTACATCTATGTACTCAGACAAGCAAAACTGACGTCCCTCTCTTGCGCCAGGGCACTTGAAATTGATGCCAGCTGCCATTTGAAGAAAACTTTCAGGTTGGTAAGATACCGAAAAATTACTTAAGCCTGGGATGCATGTTGGGATACATCTAGGTAACCAGTCTTTCACAATTTTGCATGATAGCTGCCTAGCTACTTTCTTCTCAGTAATTGGACCACTGAGTATAGTGGTGAGCATTCTGGAGCCTCATTGTCGAAATCCAGTATTCCTTGTACCGAAGGTAAACGATAGAAATAACCTCTAGGCTAATTGGAATGAAGGTTTCAGCGAACAGTTCATGGTTTAGATATATGCAAGAGTAGACTTTAGGTAGAATTCGGTTTACACGTTTTCCTATTCTGCCAAATCTTGGTGCGCTCGTTTTATGAATTTAACCTTCCAGATAGAATTTAGATCAACATATATGCGAGTAAATTTTGTCTTATACGGTTCATTTCAAGGATATTCGCACAAGCTTGTTCGTTCTAGGACCGATGTACTCGTTACAACCACCGGGAGGGATGGTGTACTGAGCGATATAACTATCTGTTTGATTTCGTTTATTTTTTTCTAAAGCGAAGGCGAGTCGATGATATGCCACCTCATCAACGCCGACAATGCTGCGTAGTTATGACAACTGATGTGTTGTAGACGGTGTGTTCGTGCTTATTTGCCATCCGACAGAGCCAGTCGTGCTCCTTGCCTCATCTAGCAGTATGATCCTGCGCAATTTCTGGCATGACAACGCAAGCACACTTCGTTTTGTGTGGTCCATCACAGTGCGGCACAACACACAGTTACCTATTTTGACGACCATAAAGTCATGTCTATCCAAAAACGTGATGTGCGTAGCGATCCTGGTCAACCTCTAATTTTATTTTGTTGGCCGTTTCATACGATTACCGCCTCACATTTCGGCCACAGAGCAATCCGGTCAGATGGCAGCAATCGTTCCATGATGTCCACCAGGACCACCACTGTCGTCTCAGAAATGTTTGGTAAACAGTCGTTGGATTGTTTACTAAAACCCTTCTGAAACGATAACCTCTCATCCGGTTCCAAACGTATTCCAGCCCTTCAGGTAACCAATCAAGTGTCACTCTGCGTAGCTTAAACGATTAATGGAACCAGAAGGAAAGAGCAAAATGAAAGTGATCAAGGTATGAGGGATTATGACACGATGATACATCAAAACACTTAACTCTCTAGAAGAGATGGGCTTGATCTAGGCAGATTGAAGCTGTTGGATAGAGAAAATATCACCGTGGAAGCTGTGCGATAAGGAAATGAGTGATGAATGAATGTGTTCTGATGGTCACCACAACCAACCCCTTTCACTTAATATTTACTCAATCGACCAATCCACGAATTGCATTGAGTACTACATTAGCATGTTGACTATAAGGCAGAATCTGTGGGTTGCTGATCCAGGACTGATCATCCTCGTTTCATGGCCACTGCCACTTAAACTCCGATCTGATGGAGTGATAATTATGTGGTCCTTTATAAGGATCTGTAATGATAGAAAAAGTAAACGAACTATGGGGTTAGGTTTGTTCTCGTCGTCAGCTGATATTAGCTTGTGGCAAAAAATGGTCACTAATCAGTTGCTTTCTATCCACTCCTCACAGCGAATCGCATTTCCGTCTGCCTCTTAGTTACATAAAATTTTCTGTCAGGAGCTTTATTCAGCCATCAGACCAATAATCGTTTGCTCGACTACTTTTGAAAGTCTGTTTTAAATGCATTCCCTTAACAAAACTTACTAGGTGAAGGTTGATGAAAACTCTCTGAAAGCTTAAAACTGACTTCTGCCTTTTGAGACTCATAAGGCGTGTGCTGTCCCGAGTTTCCGTCAACTTTACGTTGTATTTGCATCCAAATTGCACAAACTTCTCGAGATTCACTGGCACACCAGTTAGCTTCTAACGGGAGAGTCAGAGTGATCCGCCTGAATCCTCCGTTCATAATGCTCTTCTTTGACTGAACGTGCTGCACGAAGCCGCCTGGTGTTTCGACCGACATAATACTCGAGATATCGCAGTATATTTTCTTGACGGAACACAAAACTCATGTGGTTGTTGAAAGCTCTTCGAAGGCCCACGTCCCATTTCGCCTCTCTGCGGCTTACTCAACCGCAGAATGTCATTAACGATGATTCAGTTGATTCTCGTTTAAAAATTGACTTAGGCGAAATTTACACGTGGTTTATAATAGTACCTTTTAGGCAGCAAACTTGAAGCGTTGGGCTGTTATTGCACCACCTTGATTCCTCTAGAAACATCCATCAGGCATTTGATTCCCTTAAAGATGATGCACATTGTACACACTTTCATTGTTATTTCGTCAGCACTACTGACTTCTAGTGAAACAAGACTACATATTTGCGTATACCTACCCTACTTTTGAAATTTATCAATAATACCCCGGGATAAATCCACTCTTTTCCTAACTTTTTTCGCGTAATTACACCACACAAGCGCCCACTAGCATAGAAACAACTGTAGTCAAGCTCTCATGGATAAGGACTTCTATTAAGCCTCTAGCCAAAATGCTAGCCGGAGTTATCGGACTTTTTAGTTAGTTAGCTCTCAGGTTTTTCGACATCCAGTGAGGGTATCAAGTCAAAGCCGAAATATATGAACACTCATGTGATCCGATATCTAGACTCTGAGCAAAGCACTGATGAACCACGCGGGGAACAGTAGCCTTTGTGGAATGAGTTTGACAACAGTGCAGTGGTGCTAGTCGCAGATACACGACCATTCATTCTACCGCTACTCAAACTCAATCGTGGGATCGCTAGTAAGAGACATAGAGGAGTTGAACACTATGCACTGCTTGACACAGCTAAAGTAAACATAGTGTATACGTTGCAACATAGCTATGACGGGCACCAGTATGCTGGCTCATAAGTCCGCTATATTCTTGTACAGAATAGTTTGTTGCTTTGAATTATACAGCCAATTATAGCACAATTTCTGTTTGCTTGGTATGGTTGGAGATACCTTGAGAGACAGAACCTTGCATAAAACATAGCAGTTTGCACAATACTGTTGTCCATCTTTTATTTAGGATAAGGATTGTTCAAGAAGCATTAAATACTTGAGCTTCAAATACCTTCGGTGCCATCTATAACCATCGAATAGCTTACTGCATTGAGGTTATCACAGTATAAGCGCCAGCATTCATTTGAGAGCTATTGGATAGTCAATTCAGTGCCTTAGCGAGTCCACTTGGCTTCAGGCTTTACTGTTACTATTGGCTCAATAAAGCTATCATATCAAGTTGCTATCCCAATTTCTGAGCCGATTGAGTGTGTCAAACGGCGCACTCAAACAGTGCGAAAATTAATCTTGAATGAATGTAGTTGCGAAATGAGACAGGGTGGTGGAACCCCTGGGTTTGGAAATCGATTCGGCAGCAACAGGTTAGTCTAAGGAAACAGAACGTACGCAAGTATGCCGTGTCTTAAGCAGTTTGAAACACTGGATAAGTTCACTGGCTAAAGCTACGTTATGGTGAATACTTAGGGGTAAAGTTTGCAGTAGCTCACTTTTCGTCCATTATTATAAGATCTCCAACAAACTCATGGATTCAAAGGAAATCTCACGATAGCCTTGTTAAAACGAGAATTAAAAAAGAGCTAAAAGATGATGGAGCCCCAGGGGAAAAGGGTAGGGGCGCTTGCAATTTAGTGTTTAGTAAAGGTTAAATCCGCTATTCTAAGGCTAAAATAAACTTTTTGCCTCTAGTCCAACAATAAGGCACAAAAGGCCGGTGGTTTCGTGTCCATGAGGAAACATGGTCTTTTGGGTGCCTCCTAACGAAGGATATGACCATCTCAAATATTGCCACATCTTCTAAAAGCAAAGAAACCACCCCCAATAAAAGGAACCAAGGTTTCTATTCCCTACCTTTGTGTCCTTTTGAAAGGAGGATGCTCCCAATGGAAACGCTCCATGGAAACAAAAGACCTGCTATTTCCATGGCCTTAGAGGATTCCAGTCCAACAGGTTTGACAGTTTTTAACATCACGCACACTTCCGTATCTAACGTCAGACTGACGTTACCCGGACCTTTGCTCATTCTAGTCATTGTCTTTTATCAATTATGGCTTCTTCAAACCCCAACAATAGATAAACAGAGGAAACGACTTTTGTGCCGCCGCGGATATTGGCGCCGCAGTCAACGGTTTCGGCATGACAATACCTCTGACCAAATTAGGGGGTGTGCTGAACATCTTAGATGGTAAATTTGGATTACCAGTTCTCGAAAACTGATGGCAGAATTTCCGCTAGGGATCAGCAGAAAACTGAATGTCACCGAATTTTAGCACAACTCCGAATATATACTGGCTGTTAGTCCTGTTCCTCTGATATTCTGAACAGCTAACAACTGTTCTCAATATCTTTTTCTGTTAACCGTGCAAATGCTACTCTAAAGGACCCCGTGAATGGATGCTGTTAACAGCGAAGCTATTGTCATTAGAATTTTGGAAAACAACTAACTGAAGCACTGGCATTGTCCTAGCCTCACAGAGAGAAGGTCAGGTGATATTTGTGTCATATATGCAGTTAGTGTGTACCTGTCGGCACTGCTTCCTAATTTAAAATTTTAATATGACACAGGCAAAGAGGAGCTTAAACTTGGTGCGCGTTGTGTGTGCGGGCAAGTCTGTATGTCCCACTGCAATCGTCCCAGGGCTGTACCTGCAATCGATGGTGACTCATGCCTGATCATGGAGCTAAGGTGGACAGTATAGTAAAACGTCTNGATGGTGACTCATGCCTGATCATGGAGCTAAGGTGGACAGTATAGAGCTTTAAAACGTCTAAGAAATGGTTACAGTTCCCCGCTGAACGTGGGGGTTTTCACTACGGAGAATAGGCGCCACAAAGGAGGTTTAAATTATGCGCACGGTGAGCTAACCCATTGATGCGCCTGAAAATCACCACACAGTATCAGATATTCAGTTTGGGCTCTAAACAGAGCAGAAAGGTTGACTCGGAATTCTGTCATTTTGTTCATTCTGAGGGGTCATACTCGTTTTCTTTTACTCTTCACTTTTATCACTGGTTTTGATGTTTAAGAGACTTACTGTGCTCGGTAAACCTATGTCATGTCCGGTGCCAGCAAGCCCATGTCATCCGTTGTACTCTATCGTGCGTTTCTACGATTATGCTTTGCCTTTTTTGGGGTCGATTCGGAGGAAAGTTAGTTTTCACTAGGCTTATGTTGAATAAACTAACGCTAGAGCGTTACAAACAGTAAAAAAGGACCCTTTTATAAAGTTTTATCAGTCCATGGGTTTTGTAAACATTATATTTACTGCTAACAGCCTATAGAGCCGTAACTGTCTTCCACAGTTAATTCTATAGCTAGCTGCAAGCTAAATTGGGTTGGCACAATGATTCAAGCTTCCGAATAGTTTCTATCGTACTGCATTAAACTGAGCTGGTTCACTGAAAAATAAGTTATACACTTTAAGGTGGGAACTTTGAGCTCTTGGGATGTAATGGTGAGCATTGATTATTATCAGTAGAGTCAATCGGTGCACATCAGATTTATAACCATTCGTGAATGCAAGCAATAAACAAAAACATTCTGTGAGTAAAAAGTTCACATCATATGCCGCTGTGAGCGGACCACCATCGACAAGTTCCAACCGCACCCAGCACACCAACAACAAGGAATAATAGACCATTCTTCTAAAATGTCCAGTCACCTAAACTTTAGACATTGTGCGCATTCCGTTGAAGGAATTCAAAACAGAAAATACACTCAAAGTTTGAAAAATGGAGAAAGAACGCTGCCGGAACTATTTGACCACTAATTTTTGACCTCTTGTTTCCTCTCGATTGACCAAAAGCGGTTATTTTTACACCCAATAATAGAACGCTATAACCAAACCACAGTATTTCACCATAAATAATTGCGCATAACAATGATGAAATTAGTAAACCATCGCAGAAGAGTCAGTTATGTTTTCTCAGTTTTTACTTAGGCCCCACCAGAAACATTTCACTATCGACCAGGGTATTAACACAGCAGGGATCTAATGGATGTGTACGGTTTCCTGATGGAATGCAATGAACCTCGTTATTCAGTGCATGGTTCACTGTAACTAGGCCGCACCAGATTTAAATGAGTCGTTTGGCGCCACTTAAACAACAGTCTTTTCTGGGCTCTATGCTTAGCCATTCACTGAAGCATACGGAGTAAATTAGGTTGAGTCAGTACATAGAAGACACTTACTTTTCGAGAAACACACTCATTTGCAAATCGGATTGGTTTTCGCGAGAGACTCAATTGAATCTCTCGTTTATGATATTCTACAACTGAATGTGATGCGCACAGGTCGCCTCATGCTTCAGTTGGCACGATATTTGAGATATCGCAGTATATTTTCATAAAGGAAACTACTCACATGGTTGCTGAAAACTCTTCGACAGCCCACGACCGGTTTCGCCCTTCTTGGGGCTCATCAGATAGGCGTAGTCCCCGAGTTTCCATCAACTCTATGTTCTACTTGAACCCAAATTGCACTGTTTTCGAGAAATACACTCATTTGCAAATCAATCTGGTTTTCACGAGAGACTCAACTGAATCCCTCGTTTATGATGTTCTACAACTGAATGTGCTGCACACAGGCCGCCTCATGCTTCAGTTGACACGATATTCGAGATATCGCTTAATTTTATTATCTTTGAAACAGGAATAACTGATTCTCGCTTGATCTCATTTGCACTTTGTATCACAACAGTTGTTGAAATTTGTAGCCATTTTAAAAGTCAGTGGCTTCCCACATCGAGACTGCCTACGCCGGGGCGGATAGAAATCGTGTACTGCTTGCCTTACCTTTAAGCAGTGCTTATCTTTGATGTTCCGACAAGAGTTGGCAGTTACTCGTAAATAGACATCATTTTAGATTATTTTAGTGACGACAGAACCTTCTGTTGTGAAAATATCAGTGAGTATTTTGTAGAGTTGGTTCCGGGTTTTATCCTAAGCACTTAGAATTTTCAGAAAAGTTGTTTCTCTGCTTCACCCTTCATCTTTGACCACAATGTATTCCTATTGTCCGATTGTATTATTCTAAAGTATGAGGGCAATGCCTCATCATCTTTTCTTTGATCACTCTTCCCAAAAGTTGAAGAACAATACGAGTTCACTCGGGCTATACAGTACATTGAAAGACAACCACACAGCCTCGCTGGGTTGGAATCCACTGACCTACGTGAACTACGCCCACCACACCGTGAGACCATTCGGACTGCATGCTACATCAAACACCTTTTCCAGGTAGGTCCGTTGCCCAGTTTCATTCTAAGTCGGATTAGTTGTACAATAATCGATTTCCATTGAGTATGAAAATCGAAAGGCAAATATTAGCTGTTGTCAGATATGGAGATTATCAGAGATGTGGGGAAAAGTCATGAGTGTTTCTGTGCACCAAAATCAAGGTTTGACAGGCCACCAAACCAAACGGTGAAAAAATTTCGTTTAGCAGTAGGTGATGGATAGCCGGTTGGTCAAATCAAAAAAAGGATCAGTTGTCCTGTCGAAGAAACTGATTGATATTGGTATCTAAATGAAAGATTGTGCACGTTGAAAGTATGGTCGCAGAACGGTTGGAGGGTAGCTCATGTGACAGCGTGTCATTTTGAAAAATGAATACAAAATAGCATGACACGTGTTTAAGTTGACTAGTAGTGGAAAAACACGACAGTTGCAGTTCTTTTTACTCGATATATCGATCACCTTAGATGACCGTCGTGAGAAGCAAAGCAATGGCAACTATCGCAATTATAGTTATGTTTTTCCACCAATGGTCGACCTCAACAAAGAATCATGCAATGCGCACTGCCAGTGGTCTTAAGCAGAAATAAATCAGCTACACAGTTTTCCTCGACCTTTTAACTTCCATGGAATTCAGTTGCGAGATCAAATTTCAAGAGCTTCTCACCACCGATAAACTGTGTGAAACCTGATCGAAAAGAAAAACATCTCTCTGGTTTTCCACGTGAAATTTCGTCATTCCAGGAGTCAATCAACACCGGGTCACCTAGAATGAAAAGTGTCAAACTGTGAGCTAATCGGACTGCTAGTTGGCTCCTCGTAATCGGATGGCATGCTGTTCACACGTAGTGATCACCCATACACAGTAGAATACAGTACACGGGAAAACCTGTTTACAGATAACATAATAGAAACAGCAAAACACGGTCTTTCAAGCGGAATGGAGGCTACAGGTGTTTTAACCGAATCTCATCCGTTAAATTAAAAAAAAGTTCAAAGAGTAGCTCTTCTGTTTGGAGAGGAACTGAAGAATTGTTAGGGATGACAACAATGCACCTTATTGTTATCTTCAAAAAATGAGTAATTTTAAATAAACTACAGCTGCGAAGTAACGGACCCACGGAAAGTCAGTCAGATGGTTGCTGAAAGCTTACGTGGCATGGAAGGACAATTGGTTGTCTTGATGAGCACTATTCGGTTGGTCATCAGTGGGTTAAGGCCATCTGGACGTGCAGTTGGCGGGACGGTTGACAGCTCATCCTATGGATGATTAGTCCACACACCGGGTTGAACAAACTGGTCATCACCAGTTGAGGTTGCATGACCAGCGAAGCCGACCACCCAAACAAACGAATACTCACAATTGAGGGTCGCCCGCGTCAAAATGACGTACATAAATGCAAGCGCAGGACCGCTCATCCCTTACAAAACAAAAACCAGCTATGCAGTTACACAGCGTAGGGTGGTGATGCCAGTTAAAACTGGTGAAGAGGCCTGTGCAACTAAGTTGCCCAGCTCAGCGGGTGAAATAACAGATTACAATGGGAACGGATTCGCCAACGTCCTCAATTAGATTTGTCCACAGCTTGGATGTACAAACTCTAATCTTCATTCCATAGTCTTGGAGCATATCTGCTCTTTCAAATGGACAGCAAGAATTATGTTAGTGAACAGTTGACTGTTCTCAGCGAGTAAGATTTTCCGACCGATCCATCTCACAAGCCGGGAAATCAACCATCTGAATTTCCAGATGGCAATTGCAGTAATACACCTATTCCTCAGTATCGATCCCGACATATTCGTGCAGTATACGACTACCAGTGGTTGAACCATTCGAAAAACCCACAGAAACCACTTGGGTGCTATTTTCGCCGTAACGTTGAGTCAGTCTCTCTTACGGTGAGATGGTTTCCTTTCTAATCGTCAACGCTTAGTGAATCCCTCATCTGCCATGTCGTACATTCATTCACTTTATCGGAAATCATGTGGTTATCATCAAGTGGTTTTCCCTTTATTCTAATCCAAAATAAGATTTCGTTTTGATGTCTGATATCCTATATTCTAAGTCAACAGCTCGACCAGTTTCGTTCTTGTGAAATGACTTATCAACGAACATTTGGCTGACTGCAGGACTTTCATCCGAAAAAATGTACCGTTTATAAGTCAGTTTATGTCTACTGAACCAACAAAGTCTGGTTCAGAGACTAAACTTAGGTGGGGTTTCTGTACTAACGGATAAATACCGTAACTCTTTCAAACATTATCTGGTGATTATTTGTGTTTTCGACCTAAGAACGTCAGCATGACACCCCAGTGTCTCCACTCGAATTCCAAACAACGAACTTGCACGATTCTCATGCTATGTTCTTGGCTTCTGTGCACCTAAAAAGAGCTGAGAGTTCTACCCCTAAACAGTGACGGACGACGATGTTATGCGCAACCACAAGCTACCTCTGTTAGCCGAACAGTTGAGCAAAACACGTAAGCACAAGTTAAGACAGCCGAACAACACTAAGCCGGCACTAAGGTGGATGATCAAACAGACTGGATAAAAGGCTTTTCGGTGGTCTTGATTGGTCGAGCTGCCGCTCGTGAGTAAACAACTTTGATGGAATGTTGTTTTCATAAACAAAAGACAGAAACGGCAGTGATTACAAATCCGTGAGTGAGTAATTTTCTCAGCAAACATAGTGACTCAAAATGCGGTGATTTTTGGGACTGCAGCAAGCCACTTAGATACGACATCAAATGAACTGAACGTCTGCCTTTAATGTTATAATTCAAGTAAGTGTGATGATTAAAGCAGGGAACATGAGACTCGTTCACCATCGGATTGTCTCCCCATAGCTAGCAATCTAATCAGCGCCTTCAAGTCTCATGAACAGTACTGCGGACGCTACATCAACGAAAGACTTCCGTTCCGTGTGCATACCAGTAGGCTCCGTCTGCCAACCGAATAGATAGACCGTTCTCCCCTGATCGGGGTAAGACGTGAAATAATAATCCTCAATAAAGACAACCCTAAAGTACGGAACAGTCTTTTCTTGTGAAAATACGCACGCTCCGACCTGAACCGCACAGCGATGTATGCTTTGTTATTACCAATCCAAACATTTAAACCACAAAGCCGCCACGGCATGGATACTGAATGTGCTGCACGCAGCTCAAGTTTGCTAACTGTATCACTGTCAGATTGCTCAAAATCATCGCCTTTGCGGTTCTTTCGTGGCAGATTAAAGGGAACTTTTTCATACTAATTCCCTCGATCATAACCCGTAAAACGGCGGAAAAGCTCCTTGATCTTTAGCTGAAAACCAATTTGATTTGCAAATGAATGTACTTGACATCATCCTCACGCAGCTCAAGTTTGCTAACTGTATCACTGTCAGATTGCTCAAAATCATCGCCTTTGCGGTTCTTTCGTGGCAGATTAAAGGGAACTTTTTCATACTAATTCCCTCGATCATAACCCGTAAAACGGCGGAAAAGCTCCTTGATCTTTAGCTGAAAACCAATTTGATTTGCAAATGAATGTACTTGACAAACATCATCCTTCTTTGCTTTGAAGCCTTAGAAAAGGTGGAGGGAACATTTATGTCAAATCAGTACCTTCTAAACAAAGCAGAGTCGTTTTGATTGTTTTTTAATCTATTTCTAAATACCAACTCGCAGTTCGCTTCCATTCATCTGTTGTAGGAACTGACGAAGCAGAAACCAAGTGGACAAAACCAGCTGGGTAAACGGCGGCACTGTTTATTCTACTACACATGTGCCGTCAGCACAGACAGCGTCAAGAAGGTGCTCGATGCTTGTCGCAAATTTCTGATTGAGGATCATCTTGAACGCTTTGGCTTGTTATAACCTCAGTTCTCATTTTTCTGACCAACACGCGTTGGTGTTGACCAGCCTGTGCCTGCACCACCACACCACCTGAAGCTTGCCCTCAAGCAATTCTGAATTGACATGTGACTTTGTTTACTTTATTCATATCGGCTTTCTAAAATGATTCATCCCCCTAGCAGGCAATGTACTCTCAACCCTGAAGAACACAAAGCAACCGAAATCACACCTATTTCTTACGTTGTTCATGGGTTCTGTTTTATGGCATTTGTGCTGAGATGAATCAATATTTTGCACCTGAAGTCATTGAAAGCGAATGCATTTTCGAGGAATTCGAACGGAATACTTGGGCGGTGGTTATCTCAGAAAGTGTTGTAGCTCACTTCATACAGATAGACATTGTTCTATTCTCCGAGCTGAGCTAAGCTGAGCTGAGCAGTTTCGATGCAAACGTTATCTCTTCAGTTCGTAGCAACTTGGCGCGGTGGACTAGGAACTTCACGACGCACAAACAATAAAACCCACCGCTAAGTTACTGCGCACTGAGGATGATGAATCGTTTTTAACTAGGTTACGCAGCTCCGTGATTACACTGACTGCGTCATCAAAAGTGGCTGTGCATTGTGTTGGATATTATGCACTGTTGTTGAGAAAAAATATGAATAATTATCACGTCTGGGTCTTAAAAATCCTGCAATACCCATAAAGCTTCAAGTAATACATCAAGTAGACAGAAACACGGGAAGGAAGCCCACTTGACAACTCTCAACGGTGAAACTGGTATTGAGCTTCGAAGATTTTTTGGCGAACCTGTGGACAGTGGGTTTCCTCAATACATTACCGTCCGTCTCCGTATTAACCTGTTACGTCGAACGAAGTCGATGAACATCCGCACAAAGTAGGTACTGCTACACGAGGATTGCGCCAAGCCGCATGTGCGTCCACCTGAAGTCCCTGTATCTAGTTTAAACCCGAGAGAAAACAGGAGGCGAACAGTTTGGGATAGTGAAAAAGGTATGGACATGACAAACTTATGTCAAGCTAGTACAACAGGACAGTTGAGACCAACAGTGCATGGAGTGGGTAATCTGGTGGTTCCACCACTCAGAAGGCGCATCCTATACTCACACACATAAATAACTAGAGTCCCCATTTATGAGGCACATCAGGTAGGCGCAGTCCCTGAGTTTCTGTCAACCTTATGCTCTACTTGAGACCAAATTACACGAAATTAGCGAAATACACTGGTTTGTAAACGAAGTAAACGAGAGCCTCAGCTGGGTTCCAGGCGAAATCAAGTTTGCTTGTAAATGAGTGTATTTCGCTAAGTCCCTTTAATTTTACTGATGGTAATACTGTGGAAAACCTAAAATTTTCAGCTAAGTCAAGTATCCATTGTGCAGTGTTTCATTGGCGAGACACTGTTAGCGCCCGGATGCACGTTTCATATGCTTTGGGAAATCCATTTGGCTGGGGAATATTCGGACCTGTTTATATTGGTTCTGAGTGGTAAGGCCGCCATTCTTCTGTTATCTCAGAGATTTACCTAGTTAACCTCCGACGGAGCCAGTAGTAACTATGGCATTCACCGAAAGCTGAAGTTTTGTGCTCTCATCAATAATTAGTTTCAGCTGATTCCGCGTTTTTGGTCACACGCACTCACATTATTTTCAGTCTTGTCCGACAAGTTTCCTTCAGTTTGTTTCATGAGATCAAATCGTAAAATTACTGCCAACCCCAGCATACTTTAAACCTGGAATTGCCTAAATTGACTTCGCTTGCCGTTAGGAGAACAGGTGCATTACAACCAAAGACGAACTGAATGGCAGTTTAGAGGAGTGACTGGGAACATTTCAAACCACCATAGTTGTTGCTCTCGTCTGGTTACTAAAACACCAAGGCAGTACCGTATAACGAAGGCTTATCGTGGAATGGCAAAACCAACCAAGGGGCACTGAAAATTATCGAGACGCGGTTTCTTGAGAGAAAAAACTGTCGTTCTCGGACCTACTAATTTTGGTGCAAAAGCAATTCAGTTTTGCAGCTACTGTGGCTTGAAAGTTCACGAGGCTGAATAATTTCAAAAAAAAATCGAAAACCACACGGAACCATCCTTTAAATTATGAGCAAGATAACTTGTATGTGAGAGGCTGGATTAACCAGTGACCAAATAGACCTAAGGAGAGTTTTAGCGCGGGCGAATCTATAATATGATATAAAATAATCCAATTTGACGCGTTGCTGAGTGTCCGCATTAAGTTGTGGACTAGACTGACTGTCCTCGACAACTCAATATTTTTCATACCTTCATGAGCAAATAGGATTTGGATGAAAATGAAAGAGTATCTGGCACAGTAGCAGTTGAAGGAAACTAAGACTTTCCGATGTTCCGGAGGACTTAGGCTCATTAGCTACAGGATTACTTGGTTGGCCTTTCCGTGAATTTCGGGTTCTTAATTGAAGAAAAGTGTCCTGCGTCTCGGCTAGAATAGAATAGGGGGTGAATCTCGCTTTCATTTCGACCAATAAGAATGCCTATCTTGAAGGAAGGGGAACTAGCTGCGCAATTTAAGCATGATACGAAGCGATACATGTGAAACGAAAGAAATAGTTAAAGCATATCGGATGAGTTCACAGTAAGTACTTTGCCGTACAAAGATTCACTTATAGTTAACATCTGTGAGAGAATCGCAAAAAGTGAATGTAATCGTCAGCATCAGCATGATTGACAGAAAACATCAGTGTGCAACACTGGTGCTTCCTTGTCGTACACTAGATGAATGTAAAAAAAATGAATGAATATGAGCTATGGTGCTTGCTGAAGGTAATAAAGGTTTCAGTTTCTCTAGCAGGGGGATTTAACCTTGTACATTTTGGATTGATCACAAGATGCTTAGCATTTCTTTGATCCACCGGAAATGCAAAGCTCATATTTTTTTGTTAGAGAATCGACACTCTAACCCATTACTTCAATAAATCATGAATCCTGAGGAACACACTATGGAATCGAAGATCGTTAATTCCCCAGGACGGACAGGAGACCCTTGGTCTTTTAGCATAAAACGACTGAGAAATTCGACAATGGTTACTGTGGTACAAACTGGAGTCTGGTTAACTTGTCCACATTGGCCTAACACTCACTAGAGTCTATCAAGATGAAAAACATAGCAGAATTGCTAGACTCAACGGCAAACAGGTTGATCCGAACTATCAATTTTTCTTTTCTGTCGGCGTCATTTCAAGAGTGACGTACACAGAGGGCCTCATTTGCATTAAACTGGAAGCTAATTTAGCACATGACATTCAAAGAAAAAACACGTGAAATTACGCACATTGCTTGAATTCAAAAAGCACCGTCTTAGAACCGATGGGATTAACGGAAATAGGCATTGTAAGGTATTCTGAACTCAAGGCTGTTCGCTATGAATGGACCCGAGTCAGTGGATTTCGACAAAAATTAAAGAGTTCTCCGGAGCATATTGCCCGATTTTTAGTGGAATATCGACAAATATCCTCCCACACTACCGTGAATATGTAATGCCACTGATAGGTCCACATTAATTCGTAATGCACTCCCCATGAGGTTGCATAAAAACAGCATAAACGAGAGATTCAGTTGGGTTCCTGGTCAAAGTCCTGTCAAAACCAAACTGATATGCAAATGAGTGTATCTGCCCACATTACCTAAATTGAGCTTGACCAGATATCCGAAACACTTCTCGTTCATTGTTCACTTCAATCAATTTTGGTCAGTAGGGCGAATGGTGTTCCCAAGAACTTCGCCGTTCTTGTTTAATCAAACAAAAACTTTCCAACATCACATGGGGCAGGGTTCGCGCAGGGCAATCCGCCCCATCAATTCCCAATGATCGAAACTAGCAGAGTGACTTCGATCAGATTAGTCGGTTTTCCAGAGAACAAAAACACCATTCCATCGTTAGCCCATTCGGGACGATAATTCGTGGTGACTTTTCAGCTGTCGAATGGATTTCCAACTCGATTTGGATCATGTTCCATCCATTATGGGGAATAATTTTGATCAAGATGAATCAGATTGAGTTAGTGGTGTGTTCAAACCACACCGACCGGATCCGACGAATGGGAACTACTGGACACAAGCACGACTGGAGAACTGTAACTGGACATTTTACGCTGTTATTCCAATCAGATTGGGAAACGGTACACAATGCAGAGTCGAGAAACCTAGAGTACTGATGGCAAGAAAACCACAGAGGAAGTTTAATCCCGAATGGTTCCTCATTCGGCTGAGTCAGAGGGATACAACCGTACGAAGTAAGGGAATTTGTTAACACTGGTCCCCTATATACTAAAATGAATGAACTTGGGATACATAATTCATCAAATTACATAGGGATCAAAATCGAAATTCAGCTGAACTTCGCGATAAAATGAAAGCACTGATATTGCACTTCAAAAAATCGGCAGATACTGCCATGCGCGAAACATTGCTTAGACCGAGTCAGCTCTATGGCCTTGAAATATACCAACTGACGTATCTCATAGTTCATCAAGTAGGCGTCAAGATTTGCCGAACAAATTCCGCTGATAGAATGCGTGGTCGAATCAGAATAGATTCGGTTGAGTCGCCTGTCAACACAAAGTTGACTTGCTCTACACTTTGGTAAAGTTTATTACACACGCAGAACATAAGCCTGACTCTACTTCACTGATGAGTTTGAAGAAGGACGAAACAAGCCTTTAGAATTCGGACAGCATCTAGTATTCTGATGAGTACTGCATTCCGACAAGAAATCGGGGCGATAGCGAAGCCCGAAACGACGCAGACAGTTGAAATCAAGCAGTGACCAGCACATAGCGTGCTCAAAACGAATCCAGCTAATATCGAAAGCACCAGTACTCCGCTAATGCCATGGTTCTAGGATGTGGATATCACACCACCGAACGAACTACGTAGCAGTCCATCTGAATTAGGTAGGCGTTGCTAACCTTGAGGTCACTCTGCAACGATGTGATCAACTGTTCCATTCAGTACACTCGACGCATCGAATTTTCCCCCAACTTATTTGGCGGTCGCAATCCATTGTTTGCGTATGTCGTTGACTCTTCTGTCATTTACACTCCCAACACAAAACCACCAGTCCGAGCAGGCCGAAATCGGCTCAGACAGTTCCACACCTCAGTTTCCTTGAGATACCATGCGAAATTCACCCACCCCATACCTTGGAATCTATTGGGT